AATGGGGGATCAAACTTTTACAAAGGAATATATGGGAATTTTTTTTAAAAAATCCCAAGTACAACAAAGCCATTTGGTATATTGGCATGGAAGCATCATCAGGTTGTTTAAAATTCATCCCCCCCCCCCCCCCCCCCGGTAATCTTTTCAATACTGAACTGATTTGTGCTTTTGCCAAGCCAATGTGCTCAGGTGAGCGATGTGGTCCATGGGCCTCTTGTTTTAAAGCAAGGGATACAAGTATTAATTTGTGTCTGTCTGTAAATACTTCATTTTCCTGATGATATCTCTGAAAGTCCTTCATCTTTATAACTTCCTATAATTAAGCCTCCTATTGATTTTGAGGTCAAAAGGTCAAAGGCTAAGGTCAGAAATTTATATATTGCATAAATTGGTTTGTTGGAGATTTGTTTTCTTGGAGATTTTACACTGAAAATTAAGGTGACTCTCCAACTTAAAAGACTTCTATTGATTTGACTCCAATATGTGGAAGGTCATTGTAACAAAGGACAAGGTATGGTAAGGGCCAAATCTGGCCCCTTATTTGATGTAAAATCAGAACACACAGTTAAAATTGTGATAGTTTGTAGTTAAGAACTTAAAATGATGCTTGTTTTAAAACCAGCACTAATTTTAATTCAAAGTTTACATGGAGGCCACAAGAGGGTGCAGAAGAATGAAATTTTCCTGAATTTCCTCAATTCTGGTGGAATTTCGTCAAATTTGAGATACTTTTCACTTCAGGAAACATAGAGCACAAGCTTGCCTCTCTGAGATTTTTATACATAAGATGCATCTGATGCTAGTGTATGAAATATATATATTTTGTAGATAGGCAAGCATGTGCTCTATGTTTTTTGAAACAAAATGTGCTGTAAAATCGATGAAAAATGGCATAAAAATGAGAAAATTCGGAAATTGACATATTATCTGACCTTCCTGTGACTTCTGTGTATCCCAGAACTTAGAACCAATACTCATTTTGTGGCAGGGGTGACAACAGGTTTTTATTGATAAACTGTTGCATCATTCTAAAAGACACCCCAAACCAGGGGCCAAAAAGGGGTCTTAGCCTACCTTGTCCTTTGTACGGTAAAACTTGGTTATAGCGAAGGACCAGCAAATTTACTGCGCTATACCCATAATTTGTTATATCCGTATAAAAAATTTGTTAAAGCATACATAGCAAATTCACAAAATAGTTTTTTTTCCCTTCAAGTATGACTACCAAATGTACTTAAGGATGTACAAAATTTATCTTGGAGTTCAAGCGTTTCAGATAATTGAGTTTCAAATATGAATACTTACAAAATTAATATCAGTTCAATATTTTAAAAATTAACATCATTGAAAATTCGCTATAAAAGATGAATATTTCATTATTTTTAACTTCTTGGGGACACAAAATTAGTTTGCTATAACCATAAATTTGCTATATCAGAGTTCGTTATAGCCGTAAAATTTTTACAAAGAATTGTTAGGAATTTCGCCGGGATTGCAAAAACCGCCGCTATATCCCTGTTCTTACTAAACATGTTTTACTGTACAAGGTATGAAATGATACCAACATTTTCTGAATGATATCTCTAAAAGTTCTTTTGCTTTTTCAAGGAAAGGATGATTTGCCACCAAAATAAACTTTCAAATTAACATTTTTTTTCTTTTAATTGCTTGAATGATCGATATCTAAACTGTATTTTACATAATTACACTATCTAAAAAGTCTGTATTTGGGAAGTGGAAATCCAATTTATAGGCAGTGGGTCATCCCGATTTCTTGAATCTCCATCCGATAATACCTGCTTTTTGACTGACTTTAATACATAGTCACCGCAATGTTTGTCTGTTGTTCTCCATTTAATGGTACATGTACTTGTATATTTGTATATAAAAATTCATGTCATCAGGAGATTAAAAGACAAGCATGTGCACTTGGTTTAAAATCAGAAAAAAAATTTCGTACATTTGCTCTTTCTTTTGTAAACAAGTGATTTTGACCACATTAAGACATGTTGAATGTTATAATTCACCAAGTGCATGATTTCTACCCTCATGTAACTTTGTGAATACTAAATTCTGTCATGTGAGGTGAAAAGTAGGAAATGTTTTAAATGCCGCTTGCTATACAAACTGAGCTACAAGGGAATTGTGTTTGAACATTGATTTAAGATCATCTATATCTGCATTTACATGCTAATATTACCATTATTACCTGCATATGGTGTTTATATCTCACCATTGAATAGATATGCAAGGGCATGATTTGCATACAATTTCTTAACTGAAGCAGGCTACTGACAAGTAAGTTGATGTTACAAGAGTTTCAACAATCTTGTTTTCAATCAATTCACAAATTCTGTGGTTGATTAAATGACCTTGTATGCATATAAAACCTTTGTTGGGTCAAATATTGACAGACGTTTTTTAATACAAATTGTTAGGCTATCATTTCCATAATAAACTGACTACAAATTTTTCTCTTAACCCAATCAAGATGAAGGGTTTATGGTGGGTGTGACAAACTTGAATCTACACTTCTATCTGAGGATGCTTCCGTATAAATATGACAAACCGTGGCTTTGCTGTTCTTGAGATTTTTAAAGATTTTTCCTATATATTCCTATGTAAAACTTTGATCATACATTGTTGCCCCACCCTACCCTCGGGGGTCATGATTTGAACAAACTTGAATCTACACCACCTGAGGATGCTTCCACATAAATATGACCAATCATAGCTTTGCTGTTCTTGAGAAGAAGATTTTTGAAGATTTTTCCTATATATTCCTATGTAAAACTTTGATCGTCCATTGTGGCACCACCCTACCCCCGGGATCATAATTTGAACAAACTTGAATCTACACCACCTGAGGATGCTTCCACATAAATATGACCAATCATAGCTTTGCTGTTCTTGAGAAGAAGATTTTTGAAGATTTTTCCTATGTACACCTATGTTAAACATTGATCGTCCATTTTGGCCCCACCCTACCCCTGGGGGTCATGATTTGAACAAACTTGAATCTACACCACCTGAGGATGCTTCCACATAAATATGACCAATCATAGCTTTGCTGTTCTTGAGAAGAAGATTTTTGAAGATTTTTCCTATATATTCCTATGTAAAACTTTGATTGTTCATTGTGGCCCCACCCTACCCCCGGGGGTCATGATTTGTACAAATTTGAATCTACACCACCTGAGGATGCTTCCAAATAAATATGACCAATCATAGCTTTGCTGTTCTTGAGAAGAAGATTTTTGAAGATTTTTCCTATATATTCCTATGTAAAACTTTGATTGTCCATTGTGGCCCCACCCTATCCCCGGGGGTCATGATTTGAACAAGCTTGAATCTACACTACCTGACAATAATTCCACATGAGTTTCATCTTTCCTGGCCCACTGGTTCTTGAGAAGAAGATTTTTCAATAATGCCATTAATTTTTTGCTATTTCGTAATTATCTCCCCTTGGAGGAGGGTGTGGCCCTTCATTTGAACAAACTTAAAACCCCTTCACCCAAGGATACTTTGTGCCAAGTTTGATTGAAATTGGCCCGGTAGTTCTGGAGAAGAAGATGAAAATGTGAAAAGTTTACAACAACAACGACGCCGACGACGCCGACGCCGACGACAGACAACGGACAAATTTTGATCAGAAAAGCTCACTTGAGCCTTCGGCTCAGGTGAGCTAAAAAAAACTTGCTATGCATTTTCTAATTGAAAATTGACAACAAATATATTTTAGGATAAAAAAAACTAGGTATCCAGGCATTTGGAGAAAATTGTGTGTTTTTACACTGTTTTTATACCTTTTATTTACTTCAATTGTTTTATAATACATTTGCTGTCATTGCAAAACATGACAGATAACTTCTAATTTCATATCATGTCAAGAAACATTGGTATCCAAGGCTAGCTTAAAGGAAATAAATTTCTCTCTATAAATGTATTTATTTTTGTACTTTCTTGGGGTAAAAATATCAACTTTTTACAAGATGTATCTTAGACTTCAAAGAACCTTGAATCATATTGAGATGCATAAAATGAAAATTGTTGCACAAAAAAATTTAAAGCTTCACTTTGAGGCTTTTTAAATTAAATAATAGAATTAAGAGTTATCCTTCCTGGCTGAGGAGCATTCCACAAATATCTACTTTGTATCTCTTTGTAATATATCAAAAATTATTCATAATTATCATTCTCTTGTGATTTCTGAATTGTTTTCAATATGTCTTAATAGTAAGTAAACCAAAAATTGTGATATTGGCGATTCCAAAGAAATACCAAATAGAATATATATAGGAAACACCACACTCCGGTATCTTGCACAAATGCCAGGTAAGGTACCTCAATTTTTTGTAAGGACACTTGTTAAAATAGTAATACTTCAATGACAAATTCTTGGGAAAAATTACATATTTTCAGGAACGTAAATTAAATGTGTCTTTAAGTTTAAGTAATTAAAGGAATAGCACAGTTTCATTCTGTATTGAAATAAGTGTTTTGAGAGCTACTGTATTAATTGTTTTAATAATATTGTTTGTCTTCAATGGAATGAAAGTTAAACACTAAGTAGCTCACAGTTTACACCTCATTATCTGCAAATCAGGGATGTCTCAGTCAATTACTTAGCCAATTAAGGTAAGCAAACACAGTGACACACTCCCTCTCTTACAGACACTTATAACCTCTCACTGATATAAAAGCAACCTTACGATTTTGAATGAAAACATGAGAATGATTTTGCAAATTTTAAAGTTAAAAAACACAAGTTTGAAGTTGTTTAAACATTTTCAGATATGAATAATTATTTCCATCTTCTTCTTTTTTTTTCGAGTACAATGTAGTTTATTTACCAAGTTATTTATATTTAATACAGCCCTTAAATCTGTTTTTGCTATTTATAATTTTCTATTATAAGACAAAGTTTTTCAACATCTGAAATATAAAAAGGACATGCAGCAAAAGGACAGTGGGTCAAATGTAAAATGCACACGAAAAATCTGTATATTTTATTAATAAATCGTTGAAATACACTTCTGAATTATTTAATACTAGACCAGTAGGTCTATAATCCAAATTTAATTGAGAACATTATTAAACTTATGATAATAAAAGTTAGGTAATCCAAACATTACACTAGGTGGTTTATATTTGATATTTATGTGTGACTGACTGGAAATAATTCTCCAAAATAACATCCATTTATGTATAAAATAATCGAAAGTAATCGAAAAAGTAATTATAATTACATTGAAAATTTTAGCTGTAATTGATTAAATTATGATTACAAGTAATCGAAAATCTCTTCGATTACAGATTACTGTTGATTACTTGAAAAAAGTAATCATTACATTTGTTTATGATTACTCGATTACAATTACCCCATCCCTGGTCTAAAGTCATTTTGATGTTCAAATTCTTTTTTGAAATTGACCAGATTCTTTAAGTAATTAACAGAAATGAAATTAGGTAAGATATGAAAGTAACAGAAGCGACCAAAAAAGAACCCAAACCCCTAGGATTTAGTGCAGTCAAGATAAGCAGGAATCACAAATTCTCTGAATTATCTTGTTTTTTCTCAAATGAATACATTAAATAGTAATCATTTATTCCACATATCACACAACATTCCACTAATCACATAAAACTCCATCACTATTTGTCTTTTCTTTTCTCCCTTTCTATTTTTTCTTTTTCCAGAGCTTTAAGTCGTGCTAAAAGATTCAATTTTTCATCACTTGGAATATAACGAAAGTCTTCCACTTCTTTTGAGAACTGCAAAAATATACACATTAAAATTAAAACATATAATATATAAAAAAATCCATAAATTCTATTTCTGCAAAGGTGACTTTTTATTCACTATATATAAATATTTTCTTCTAAATCTTAATTTCATTCCATATCTTTTGAAAGTTATAATGTGTGTGTATCTTTTTTAATGAAACATGCCACTTCTTACCTCCATGATCTGTATATCCACTCCTTCAGGTTGGTGTTTTCTTAAAACTTCTAGAAATATCGGGAACTTTGTGCATACAACACTTTTAAACTAAAAAAAAAAATGTGATACCAGTACATGATTATAACATGCATGTTAAAATGTGGAATCAGTTGCAGAATAATATAGATCATAGGTACTGTCATACTGATGTAGTGTATGAATGTATCAGAATGGACACATTGAGTGATTTCTCTTTCATTGACAACACTCTTTGTGTTTCCAAATACAGAAGTTGGGTGACCACTTCTTCATTCATAACACTTTATGTATGCTGCTAATAGAGGCATTGGGTGCCCATTTTTAGCTCACCTGAGCTGAAGGCTCAAATGAGCTTTTCTGATCACATTTTGTCCGGCATCTATCTGTCTGTCTGTAAACTTTCACATTTTCGACTTCTTCTCAAGAACCACTGGGCCAATTTCAACCAAACTTGCCACAAAGTATCCTTGGGTGAAGGGAATTCAATTTTGTTCAAATGAAGGGCCACACCCTCTTTCAAGGGGAGATCATGAAAAAATAATGGCATCATTTAAAAATCTCCTTCTCCAGAACCACTGGGCTAGGAAAGATGAAACTTATATAGAAGGGGTAGGGTGTGGCCACAATGGGTGATTGAAGTTTTTCATAGGAATATATAGGAAAAAATCTTTTTCTCGTGAGCAGAAAAGCCATGATTAGTCATATTGATATGGAAGCATACTCAGGTAGTGTAGAATTAAATTCGTTCAAATGGGGGCCCGAGGGGTAGGGTGGGGAAATGGGGGTCCAAATTTTTACAAATGAATATATAGGAAACAAAAGGCCCAAGGGCTTTAATGGTCACCTGAGTACAATACAACAATTTAGAGGATCCATAAACTGATAAATGAAGCCTTGCTGCCCAAAAGCAAGAAAAATAGTATGATAAGCATCAACAAAATAATTGGTATAGAATCTATCTGTCCCCCATTTATCACTATTACCATGCAGACTATCAATGTCTATTTTTAACCCCATATTACTACTTCTCACATTGGTCTCTCTTGGCCTTTGAAGATCATTTAAAAAGATAAGTTATTTTTGTCTCACTTTTATTCATCTATTATTTCCAAGTCTACCTGATCATTAAAACTATAACAGTACTTTTTGTATTATACAATAAATATTCTTGCATAATTCTCTTATTCTATTAACCTTTCAAATACATTATTTAGAGTGATTAATTGTCAAAGGTGAATGGCAAAGGGGAATAACTTTGCTCAGCAGAATACAAGTTCATAGAGCCCCAGCCAGGACCAGAACACTTGACTAAATAATCTAGGTGTTCAAAATTCTAGTAAAAATACCCTTGCATATTAAAACTTTTACTCTGTTTGCCTCAAATATGCCCAGAAGCATAGATGATTTTCAAAGAAATGCATGTTCACTATATTATTAGATAAATAAAGCCCCTCCCCTTTACACCAGAACATCTTACCCAGGGGCCATGAACTCACAATTCTGGAAGAAGCACTTTGCTCATCATAACTATACACTTGTTTTTTTTTTTTTGCTTTATTACCAGTAGTAGAAAAAAATATTTTGAAAGAAATTATGCATTTTCACTATAAAATCAATAGAGCCCCCCCCCCCCCTTCACCAGAACCCTTGACCCAGGGGCCATGAATTTCACAATTTTGGAAGAGGCATTCTTCCTTATCATAACCATGCACTTCCTTTGTTTGAATAATACACAGGAGCAGAGAAGAAGATGTTGAAAGAATTTATGCATTTTCCCTATATACTCAATAGAGCCCCGCCCTAACACCAGAACCCTTCACCCAGGGGCCACGAAATTCACAATTTCTGAGGAGGCAGCCATGCTCATCATAACTATGTACTTAGTTTATTTAATATCCAGGAGAGAGAAGATTTTCAAAGAAATAATGCATTTTCACTATATATATCAATTGAGCCCCACCCTGACACCAGAACCCCTGAGCCAGGGGCCACGAAATTCACAATTTCGGAAGAGGCAACCATGCTCATCATAACTATGCACTAAGTTAGTTTATTTAATACCCAGGAGCAGAGAAGGAGATTTTCAAAGAATTAATGCAAATAATCAATAGAGCCCTGCCCTAACATCTGAACCCCTGACCCAGGGGCCATGAAATTCACAATTTCTAAAAAAGCAGCCATGCTCATCATATCTATGTTCTTAGTTAGTTTATTTAATATCCAGGAGCAGAGAAGAAGATTTTCAAAGAATTAATGCATTTTCACTATATAGTCAATAAACCCCGCCCTAACACCAGAACCCCTGCCCCTGGGGCCATGAAATTCACAATTTTAGAAGAGCCACTCTTGCTCATCATAACTATGTACTTAGTTACTTTATTTAATACCCAGGAGCAGAGAAGGAGATTTTCAATGAATTAATGCATTTTCACTACATAGTCAATAGAGCCCCGCCCTAACACCAGAACCCCTGACCCTGGGGCCATGAAATTCACAATTTTGGAAGAGGCACTCTTGCTCATCATAACTATGTACTAGTTACTTTATTTAATACCCAGGAGCAGAGAAGAAGATTTTCAATGAATTAATTCATTTTCACTATATAGTCAATAGAGCCCCGCCCTAACACCAGAACCCCTGACCCTGGGGCCATGAATTTCAAAATTTTGGTAGAGGGCTCAATGCTTATTACAATCATGCCAACAGTTTGACTGCTTGATGTCCAGGAGTAAAGAAGAAGATTTTTAAAGATTGCATTAATTTTGATGGTTTTAGCCCCACCCTCAGGCCCCAAGGGGGCAGGGACCATGAAATTCACAATTTTTGTTCCCCTTCACATATAGATGCTATATACCAAATTTGGTTGAAATTGGTTGAGCGGTTTCAGAGAAGAAACTAAAAATGTTCAAATGTTAACGCACATCGCACGACGACGGACGAAAACGGATAGCAAGAGGTCACCTGAATGACTAAGGTGACCTAAAAATCTGCTGCTCAAGAACAGCAAAGCCGTTTGCTATACTGATAAGGAAGCATCATCAGGTAGTTTAAAATTCAAGCCCCCCCCCCCCCCCCCCCATGTAAACTTTTCAATACTGAACTGATTTTTGCTTTTTTTTTTCCTAGCCAATGTCTCAGGTGAGCAATGTGGCCCATGGGCCTCTTGTTTCACTTACAACACTTGTAAATAATACAGGCAATTGGGAAGGTACACACATTTCCTATTTCTGGAAATCAAATATGTACAGTAAAACTCTGTTATAACAAAGTCACTGGGACCTGTGAAATTACTTTGCTATTTCCACAATTTGTTACATTCGTATAAGGAATTTGTAAAATTTATTTAGCAGAGAATCCAAGAAATCTTCGCAATATCCATGAATTCGCAATATATCTGTGTTTGTACTAACCAAGTTTTACTGTACTTTAAATGTAAGGAATATCATTCATACAAACCTTCATTTAACAGAAGAGGCAAACATTTTATTTTTAAATCAAAATGTTGAGATAACTGCCATGTCTATTAATTCTTTCACTTTGTGAGTGTACTAGGCTGATTACATTGTTCTATTTTACATCATTAAGTTTTACAATTGTCATGTTAATATCCAATACCATCTAAGCATTGATATAAGAAACATGACAATTCTTGCAACAATTAGAAAAAAAAAATTAATCAAATTACACCTAATTAACTCAAACATTATAAAACATGGTACATGTATTTAAGAGGACCTTGTTTTTATACTAATACCCCAGCACATTTATATACTGTTGAACTTGGGTGTTTCAAACATCAATATCTCGACTACCATGGATATGTCTCAGTGAGATGGAAATCCTAAGTACTTTTTCTCTATGAATTTTAATCTCAAAAACTCAAATCCTCAGACACCTTGAAGTTTTTCCTTGGTTCGATCGAGTTTGAGATGGTGAGGTTTGACTGTATATTTACAGACTTCAGACATTTAGAACTTTCTCTCTGCTGTTGGAGGTGTCTTACAAAAGCCAGTGGTAAAAATAGACTTTCTGTCATACACATAGATTTAAACATTCTATGAAATAAAATTTGACTTTAATTTCAAGAATAATATATGCGCACATACTGAAGTTTCAATACTTACTCTAAGTTTTCTTTCATATCTTTTCAAATTAAAAATTTCTTGAACTTTGGTGGAGCGTGTATGGTAGGTCTTTACATTCAAACTCCTGGGAGGAACTGTAACTCTGTGCAAACATAAGATCATAATATTGGAAACATAGAATACATCACAGTGTAATTAAAACATGTGATAATGATGATACCCATACATTCTTCCCATGGGTTGAGATATGGATCATAAAGGGTGCTCTAATGAATGAAGACAGGAAATTGAAGGAAGTGTCAGAATATCAGAGATTGACAAGAATGTTGGAATAGCTCAGAACAGATCACATGCTGACCTACAGTGTATCATACTAATGAATAGCCTTGTGTAGGCAATGTGGTAATTCTACCTCTACATGTACTTTGTTCAACTTTTCAGAGATATTATCAGGCCTAGATAAATAAATTGTGTGTTTCCGGTTCCCCGACCGACCCTAAAATATATGAGCCGACCCTGAAAATTTATCTGCCGATATCTTTCCGGAAGTAAACAATTCCATTTTCACTATCAGAAATCCTAATCTCGATCACTTCGGTGTTTGAGAAAATGCATATCCTATACACATTAAATAGAAATGCCACTAGTAAGCAGCCCTTCTGGGAAAAAGAAATGAACTCATTGTTTTTCTCATTTTGTTTATTGTCAAAGTTGAATTTTAACTAATAAAATGTTAAAATAAAATAAAATGTTTTCCCTACCTACCTACCCTATTTTTTCTCGGGTTGGAATAGGAAACACACTATTTATTTATCTTGGCCTGACTGTAAAGCAAATAATCAGAATTTTTCTAAGTCCAAGGAGCATAACTCTGTCAAAAATTGCTCGATTGTACTATAACAAAACTTGACCTAGATATTCTTATGATAAATCTGTATACCAAATTTCATTTCAGTATGTGCAACCTCTGCAAAGAAAAGGAACAGAAACTGCAAATAATTGGAATGTTTTTAAGTCCAAGAGGCATAACTATGTCAAAAATTGCTCGATCATACCCAAAACAGAACTTGACCTAGATATTTTTATGATTAAATCTGTATATGAAATTTCATTTCAGAAAGTGCAACCTCTGCAAAGAAAATGAACGGAAACTGTTGGTGGACTGACAGACAGACCGATCGATCGACAGACAGCAGGAAAGCAATATGCCCTCCTTTCTTTGAAGGGGGGCATAAAAATAATCCATTACTGTAAATAACTGAATATGCCAATTGATACTACATCATATTATGACTTACATTTTCATGTCCAGATCCATTGTGAATTTGACTGACTTCACAAATCTACAGAAAGATTCTAACACCACAAAATCATATCCCGTCAGCTGAATGTCAATATTCTTGTACTCTCCTATCTTAGGTTCATCCTGAAATAACACAATGTTAACATATGTTGTCTGGAATTTTTGCAAGCTTCTTTTGTAGCTGATTCAGATTGTTTTGCAAGTCTACCTACTGGGTATAAAGTTTTCATGTTAATGCACAGACTGAACTTCTAAAACAAATGCATTAGTCCAAATGTCGTATGTTGCTAAATTTCCAGATAATATACTAAAAAGAAACTGCATCGCCCAAATTTGATGGTTTCATTATGGGAGTGTTTGGAACTGAAAAATACATCACCAACCCCCCCCCCTTTCCCACACACACAAAACAAACAAACATAACATATTAAAGGGACATACATGTGGAGTTGCGGACTCAGTTTTGAAGTTTACATCCTCTGAATTTTTTGGTAGAACTTTGTAACAGTGTTTTCAGGACGTACGATACATTATCATGATTATGAAGGCATGTTCAGAAACTTTTTTCATCCGAAAATTACAAAAACTACTTTGGCAGTATTTGATTTCATCCATACTTGCATTTCAACTGCTAATATTCATCTTTGATATTTAAGAAAAGTGCAAAATCTGTGGTGTATTAATATGAAAGATAAAGTGAGCAAGCTCACATACCCCATCCTCCCACATTGCTGGGCAGTGCTTCACATAATGAATGGCTGCAATGCTATGCATTAAATGGAACAAATAATTACACCCCCTTTTTTTAACAAATGTTTGTGAAAGTCAATGTCAACCAAAATATAAATCAGAATTAATTTTCTTTTAATATGCAAACCTACACAGTATGTCTATACATTTATTAACTACAAGTGTTTTTGTGAAATTCTGTTGAGCAGTTTCAGACAAGTTGCACTGACAAACTGTTTCATTGTCTCTGAATATGACAACTTCTCACATAATTTCAATCCATTAAACCGAAGTAATTTTTAGGATAAATTTATAGAAAAATACAAAATTGTAAACTAAATGACAATGTAAGCAAAATCCTTCATCAGGTACAATTGTACCTCCTACTTCAAACTTTAACGATGTTTATATGTAGTTTTTCTAACATCTTACTAGGCCGTCAGGTTCCCATACACCACACAGCTTTGAACCTGTTGTAAACCATTTCCTGCAAAAAAGAACAAAATCATTAATAATCTAAAATTGCCTTCATGAGAATTAATTTAAATCAATAAAATGGAGAATTAATTATTTGTAAATAATAAGATTTAACATTCGTTAGATATAAAATTTCTTATTTGTATGTACAAATGTATCATTTTACCCTCTTATGCAGTAGAAATCACTCATTGTACAAATTTATATTCCACACTTTGTATTCCAATCCAATGCCTCATGATGGTTTATCAACAGATATATGTGTGCATTAGTAAGCATGGAAGATCAATGTAGAATTCCATATAATAGACAAAATCATTGACATAACAGATCCTACTTCAAAAAGCATTATTTCACATTTATTTACTGTGTAATACTGTTGGTGTTGTTATGCAGAATAAACAGCTGATAAAGATGCTTATATTAATATAATTATGATACATGTATCTCCATGTTTTAATTAGTATGTCAGTATTATCACCATCTATGAATGAAAATGACTGATTGCACAACTTTTAATCATAGAGAAACATTTAAAAATTTGAAATCTAATAAGATTTTGTAAACAGTAGTCTAATGATTAAGATCTGCAAAGGCAAGCTAAATTACATATGTATGTCTTTGTCTCCCTGCACAGTGTATTTAGATTTTAAAAAAAGAAACACACAATGTAGTTTGACAGATGCATTATTTTCTTTTCTAACTTGTAAAGGGTAGATCTATAAAATTTTTAAAAAGTCCCTGGGTACAAATTTTAAGGCAAAAGTTCAGTATTTCAGTTTCTTTGCCCAAAACCATTTTATCTACATGTTACACAGGTTAACATATATGATGTACATTTATAAAATTAAAAAAAAATCCAAATCAAAACTTCAGTTTATTCACTCAAAACCATTTAATCTAAATGGTACACAGGGTAACATGATATGATATGATAAAATATGATGTACATTTATTCAAATGAAATAAAGTTGAAAAAGCAAAAGCAAAAATTTAGTGTTAGGTTTAAACAAAATCTCTTGTCAGATACCAAAATTTTTCAAAATGTGTAAAGCACATGCATTAAAAATAAGAGGCCCATGGGCCACAATGCTCACCTGAGTAACTTTGACCAGCTGTTTTTCACCAGATTTCCCCCTTATAATACTCATTGTGGCCCCACCCTACCCCTGTGTTCATGATTTGAACAATTTACAATCTACACTACCCCCAGGATGCTTCCATATAAGTTTTAGCTTTTCTGGCCCAGTGGCTCTTTTAAAGATTTTTCCTATATATTTCAACGTAAAATGGATTCCCTATTGTGGCCCCACCCTACCCCCCTGGGTCATGATTTGAACAATTAGAATCTACACTATCCCAGGATGCTTCCATATTAGTTTCAGCTTTTCTGGCCCATTGGTTCCTGAGGAGAAAATTTTAAAGATTTTTCCTATGTATTTCCTATGTACATGTATTTCAATGTAAAACTTGGGATTCCCTATTGTGGCCCTATTCTACCTTGGGGGCCATGATTAGAATAATTTAGAATCTACACTACAGCAGGATGCTTCTATATTAGTTTCAGCTTTTCTAGCCCAGTGATTCTTGAGGAGAAGATTTTTAGATTTTCCCTATATTTTTCAATGTAAAACTTGGATTCCTTATTGTGGCCCAATCCTACCCCCGGGGGACATGATTTAAACAATTTAGAACCTACACTACCTGAGGAAAATTCCGAGCAAGTTTCAGCTTTTCTGGCCCAGTGGTTCTTGAGGATATTTTTTAATGATCCCACCCTATTTTTGTTTTTCTTGATTATCTCCCCTTGTAAGGGGGTTTGGCACTTCATTTAAAGATTTAAACTCCTCTTCACCCAAGGATGCTTTGTACCAATTTTGGTTGAAATTGGCACAGTGGTTCTTAACAAGAAGTTGAAGATGTGAAAAGTTTACAGACGGACTGAGGGACAAACAGACAGCTAAACTGATGGACAGACCAAAAACTATACATGCCCCTGAATCTTTGATTACGGGAACATAAAATGGTATCTGTATAATTAATTGCAGTTTCATGTTACAATTACATAAGTTACAGGTGCATAATGTTTTGTTGTTGTTTGGTTTTTTTTTTAGCTCTTTTTCTTTCAAAAATAAGAAAAAGCCACGACACACTGACTGACTGATCTTTAATATGGTAAAAGTACAAATGATTTTGTCTGACCACTTACACATGGATCTACCCTATTCTCACTCCCAAAGCATTGAAGTTTAAATTGCACCATACATGTGATATGTACAGGCTGTATGCAAAATGTACAGTTTTTTGAGCCCATTCATCGTGTACTGGCGGGACACCAAAATTCACAGAATATGAAAATTTGTACAGTATTTTGAATTTCTCGCTAAATGCCGCCATTTTCCTCTCATTCTCGCTCGCGAGACACTGAAAAACGTCACCTGTGTTTGACACTTGACCTTCTGATAATTGTGTAGTGTACACAAACCATCGCGTGCGAAGGTGTGAACTGCCAATTGGGATAATTATCTTGCTATAAATCCGTATCAAATATCCCTGTAGGTAGCTTTATTTTTTAAGGGGTACTTAATTACTGTTAATGTTTCGTATACGTAACTTGATTGAAAAAAATTAAGCCAACTTCGAAAGTTGATATACATGACTTTAGTCTTAATATACGTGAATCTGACCCAGATCTTCGTAGGTATAAAATATACGATGTTTATTACAATGATTACGATGGAATTTCAGAAGAATTTAAGCGATATTTTATACCATTTTTTTGTACCGTTTTTTGATAAGCAGTGTACAGTTTTTTCACCCAAATTCCATTTTTATGGCTCCTGTACAGTTTTGTGGTCTTTGACTTATCACATGTATGTTGCACGATACAAAGATAAACAATTTATCAGACAGACCTTACTCTCGGACATAAACCACTGATTATCTTAATAAGCTCGATAGGAAATCTGAAATGATTTCCAACCAGATATTTAAAGACATCTTCTCACCTTTTGTGGAGTACGTTGTTTTGGCATCGCTTACACAAAGTTTTGTTGAATTCAGATGACACCAACCGTAATGCCTTTCCCAGCTGTCATTGTAAAAAAAATCACATATGAATCAATCTGCACTACAAACTGGAATAGATATGGCAAGAAATTAGCCCTGACTTTCAAGTATGTTCATTTGTTACCCTGTTACAGGACTATTAATCCAGTTACGAAGGTAACATAAATCCTAAAATGAGATCCAGTTAATTTATAACCCATCAGGGGGTCTTCTTTTCTGTGGTTAAAATATTTTATACTATTTCGGAAAGTTTCCAATCATATTTCAGTCATGAAACTGATATCAGGTTAAAGAACTCATTGTAATCACACAGTGAAAATTGTGTACCATAAAATCTCATTTTTTAACCACGTTGTAACTGCTGTAACCACTGTAACCAGCAAAAAAGTGTAAATTGTACCATGAAGTCCCCATTTTTAACCACTGTAACCATTGTATCCATTAAATAACTGAGGAAATGCTACTCAGTTACTGGCTTTTGTAACCCTTGTTACTGGTTACAAATGAACATACTTGAAAGTCGGGACTAATTTCTTGCCATATATGAACTGGAATTTCCTCTTCATTTTTGGATATTACTTTAGACAACAAAACATACAGAAAAAATACAGAAAACATATTAAAAATATTAAAATACATACTATTCTTGACTTAACGTCAAAATTTTAAGCACTGTTGCAAGTGGAATTGTAATAAAATTAAAAAGTACGAAATACCTCTGAAATTTTATAGACAAGACCCATGTTTTCGAATTAATGCTATCGCAGAAATTTCGTGAGAAGACGCTTACTAATTTTAAGTCCAGATTTTTATGTACTAAAATGATATTATTTCTAAGTGTGAACCAATCTTCATTTCATAATAAATATTTTAAAAATTATGACGAGACAACATAAGCCTAACATTTTACCAGTACAGAAGAGGAATATATTTGGAACGAGTTGTTTTGCAACAATTCTACTTTCATTTTAAAATCTGACAGCAAATACTGAAATAGTAAACTAAGCAAGTCAGGTAAATTTCAAAGCCCTATGTCTTTTAATATTGAAAAAAAAGTAATAGCGAATGATAAAGTACATTTTTGTGGTAATATGTATATGTAATATTAAGTTAAATAGCTTTGTAGTTAAAAATACAGTTTGTACGTTAAATTCTTACTGTTACCAGAGACGTGAAACTTTCTCAGAATATTTAAATTAGAGATTAAAAAAAAGAAGAGCTTTAAACATAATGTTTAATGTTCCTTCTGATCTACTCAGAGAACTGTGGAGAATTACATGGCACCAATACCCAAATCTGATGACAATGATAAACCAAACACTGGGGAGGAAGATGTTGATGTGATGGATGTCCCAGATCAGATGATAATTGTGGATAGTTCTGATAGTGAGGAAGGAGATGAAGAGTTTGGAAACAATGGCTACCAAATGCTCCAACAGTCCACTGTGGACTCTGATGATGAGGATAATCCAGATGATGTGACTTCAGGTATGACAGTGGATCCAGGTGGAATGACAGTGGATCCAGGTGGAGTGACAGTAGATACTGAGTTGGAAAGAAGTACTGCTGCTGACGAAGCATGCAGACTTCCGTCAGGACTGCATACCGCTGGGGGAAACGCACCATCTTATATGAAGGTATTATATTTAGAAACACGTTCTTCAGAGTATACTTTTCAATGTGAATTTTGAATATTCAGTATGATTACTCAATCTTGATATAGTACTATAAATCACTTTTTATTTATTAGAACTGTATTTTGGCATAATTATGCATGACCATCTGTAAAATTTTATTTTGGCATTTTTTTTGTACTGGTAAGGATTATATAAAACAATAGCCAGAATTCATGAAAATATTGTCACGCTAATGAATACCAAATACATGTATCTATGTTGTGAAAATAAGATGTTGCAAAAATGAAGTGATCTACAGTAAGTACAGTACAGGCAACGCGGATCCCGTATTAGACCGCGTTCCCTCGGCGGTGTGTTAATCCTTTCCGCATTACACCGTCGCGGGTTTTGATCGCGGTACTACCTGCGACCGTGTGTACACCGCGGCGGGGCCAGCTACCGTTATTCTTTATCTTAGATGTTGTTACCTGTAAAGTGTTGTCGATTTTTAATAGCGTCAAAAAAAGGGGGGTGTAAGCCATTAAAGGTTACGGCCTGCATTAATTAAATGAATTTTTAATTCAATTTTTAAGTATTATCAAATTGTATAATAATACTTGTGTAATTATTTTTTATCTATCTTTTTTTTAAGTCATTCAAAATTAATTAATTCTCAAATTTAAAAAAAGAACGTATAATGCCAGTGCTTGTGGTAAAATTTGATGAAATATCGTCAACTGAAATATCGTATATATTTTTTAAAATCAATAATTCCGACATAAATGATCATGAAATTGCTAAATAGTGCACAGTAAAATAGATTTTTTAAAAATGCCATATCATTTCTGTTAAAATGCATTAAATACAGTGTTCACGATTTGCCAGTGCCAGTGTGGTTGTGTTCTTGGTTACATGTAGCTATGCGTTTATTTTTCTGCGAGATTCTATCACGGTCATTGGTTTCTTGAAGAAAAATGCTTCTGTATACGTATCTGTTATAAGTATAAGCATGAAAAACGATGCTAGATAGAGATGGTAACAGTATGATATTAAAGAATAAACACGTGTACATTTAGGAATATGTTGCACAATTAGCTTCTGACAAATATGCGCTAAACAGAAATATCAACATGATCTTTTTTTTTTTTTTTTTGGTTATTGTTGTAAATAAAATCATTACATTCTTTTCAGAATAATTTCATAGCTAGTATTTGACTGTATTTCTATTTCCTTTCTTTTTGAAATTAATATAATCATGCGGCTCTTCAACAAATTTCATGTACATGTATCGTCAAATCAGAAAGGACGGCTCTTTTATTAGCTGTTTATATGAGCCTAAAAAAATAATTTGAACATACAGCATTGTAGATGAACTAATTATAATCAGCGGTAGGCTACAAGTTTTCAGGTGTCTGTGTAACTGGCCCATACCCTTACGAAATACCTGTAATACTGTCAGATTGCGTAATCTTACATCATGAAGAATGTTGGCGACCTTGTAAATAAGTGTCTTGGAATCAATCTCTTATCAAGCAGTTAGTTTAGTTAAATTAGTGTCTGTGGCTATCACTGTTCCCGTGTTCTTCATTAACTGGCAGAATTAGACAAAGTGCTTACTGGTCAATAAACCGATAAATCAGCTACAGTAATACCTATCCGTTCACAGAAACGACTATTTTGAAACCGAACAAAATTTGATTCACAAGCAATTTCATTTAAATTATAATTATAAATCGATAAATCAATAAACTGATTTCAGGAAAAACGATGCACGTGCCGTACATGTAACTTTCTGTATGTTCTCTCTCTCTCTTCCTTTTTTTTTGGTTGAAATTAATTCAAATTATACTTACATGTACAGGTACATGTATGAACGTATAAACTGAGACGTAAACAAAATACATGTACTTATAAAACATAATTTGATTTGATTTATTTTATTTTTTTCAACTCTATTAATTTGTTTTAAAAAGTTTGATTTTTAATATACACACAGTTAGGGTTAAAAAAAAAGCAACTGTGAATATATTGTCTCAAATTTCTTGGTTGAAAATAAAGAAATAATGAGACATTGAATGGACTGGTATGTCGTATGGCTAGACAACGATGTGCGCATTCGGAGAGATTTACCTCAGGTACCCTAGGACACTCACAGGTGTGAAACCCCCAGGGCATGCCGTTTCCTGCTCTGGGTCTGCTAATCCCTATACACAGGAAATGATCGCGGCTAATACTTAATACACAAAGAAACAAAATTTGTCAAAGTATACGATAGCATTTGATTTTTTCCTTGAATATTATTGAAAATAAAAGTGTTGTGAGTGTAAAATATCTCCCTTCTTTATACTTGTTCTCTGGAGTTCATCACCATGCATGCACATCCTATGTTATTTTATTGAACATGTAAATGGAGAAATAATTATTATTTTTTTTTTTTTTAAATCATCGTTTACCAAAGAATTAAATATCAAAGTGAAGAAAGGATGATAGTTTTTTTTTTTATTATTGATAGCTTGTATACCGTTTACGTGCCCACTAACTGCAAACTCTCGACTTCGAATATTACAGCTTTCCAGTAATTTGACATTTTCAGAAAAATGCTTGCACATTCGTACAATAAAGCGAAATTAATTTAATGAATTATAGTGTTCTAAATTTGGTAAAAATACAAAAACATAAACAATATAAAGATGCACCTTTTTTATTTCATAGGAGTGTTGAAAATTGTTAATCGGAACTCGCACTGATTATTGTTTAGCACGTGTACATCATTATTGCAATTCGCATATAATTTGAAAAGACTTTCTAGAGCTAATAAACCCATCATTTAATTTTGTTTCATGCTAAAATCTCAAATAACACAGCTTATAATTCTATTTAAACGAAAGATGTCGCCTTTGCATTGATACATGCAAATAGTTTTAAATACAAATCTAAAAAAGTTTATAATATCTCCTGCTTTACAAATTCTTTTTAGGAGTATGTTTATTATTTTCTATTCATCGTTGCAAAACAAAAGAAAATACTTTCATAAATAAACATACTCTGTAGTTATTCTTTGTTACTACATGAAAATTTCGCAAATTCTCGTTCGGGGAGATAACTCCCGTTTGTTTATGATACTAGTTGATCGATGATTTAACCGCGGCGGGGACAGGTAGGTGATGAATTTCCCGCGGAGGGAACGCGGTTTACCTGTCTCACCTGGCCAAGTCCCGCGTTGTGTTTATACCGCGACGGGGCGCGGGAAATACGGGATCCGCGTTGCCTGTACTGTAAGTCAGTAAATCATTTATTTTAGTTCCAATTTAAGATATCATAGTAGTGCATGGTGCTTGTTATGGGATATACATTATGTACACATATTAAATGTTTATGAAATGGAATGCAACATACATGAACATAACCATATTGATTATAAATGTGGTAAGTATACCACAGAGGCTGAACAAGTAGTTCTTCATTACCAATAAAAATCCAGATGAATTTTTTTTAAACACAAACCACTTGAAAGTTAAAAAAAATTGTCAGTACTGTTATCTGCAATCCAACAAATTTATAACCCAGCCATCATTGGCATTTATAATCCCTGGAAAGTGGAAAACTTGATGACATCCATGAAGGATATTGAAAACTTTTTTTCAGGTCCCTGATTTACCAAGACCCTCCCCAGGGGAACTTTTGTGGAACCAGCAAGTGAACAGAGACATTCATATAAGTGAGGTCCAATCTGAACAAATCAAACTGACAATGACTTCAGTGAAGCTTCCAGAGAGTAACATTCCACCGTGGGCCAATGATATCTCAGAGGAGGAATGGAAGGATAAACTCAAGCATCTGATTGGTCAGGATTCTTGAAATCAACAATAAAACTACAAATTTCAAATGAGTTTATAAACTAAATGTTTGTTCATTTGTGATACATGTATTGTGATTATGATGTTAGAGATTACATTTGACAAATTACATTCTTATTTCAAATATTTTAGATCATCTGAGCCAAAGGCTTGAGAGAGCTTTTCTGATCATAATTTGTGTAATGTCTTGCCTTTGTTGCCATAGTCAATGTTGTCGTAAACTTTTCACATTTTCATTTTCTTCTCCACAACCACTGTGCCAATTTCAACCAAACTTGCTACAAAGCATCCTTGGTTGAAGGGATTCAAATTTATTCAAGTGAAGGGCCATGCCCTCTTTCAAGGGGATATAATTAAGAATTGGTGAAAATTTAATGGCATCTTTCAAAAATCTTCTCAAGAACCACTGGGCAAAAAAAGTTGAATCTTATGTGAAAGCTTCATCACATAATTTAGATTGAAATTTGTTCAAACTTGTCAGGGGCTAGTGTGGGGCCACAATGGAATGCCAAATTTTTACACAGGAATACATTGTGCATAGGAAAAAAAACTCAAGGGCAGGAAAGGCTTTATTAGTCATATTAAATATGGAAGCATCCTCGGGTAGTGTAGATTCAATTTTGTTTAAATCATGACCCCCTGGGGTAGGGTGGGGCCACAATACATGATCAAATTTTAACATGGGAATATATAGAAAAAAAATCTTTAAAACTCTTCTCCTCAAGAAACAGCAAAGGCAGGGTGGCAATATTGACATAAAAGCACCCTCAGGTATAGTGTAGATTCAAGTTTGTTCAAATCATGACCCTGAGGGGTAGGTTAGGGCCACACTGGCCAATCACAGTTTTACATAGGAATATATAGGGGGGGGGGGGGAATCTTCAAAAATCTTCTTCTCAAGAACAGCAAACACATGATTAGTCATATTGATATGGAAGTATCCACATGTAGTATAGATTCAAGTTTGTTCAAATTACAACCCCTGGGGCCATTATTGACAATCAAAGTTTTACATAGGAATATCTTCTTTTAAAACACAGCAAATGCATTCTTAGTCATATTGATATGGAAGCATCCTCAGGTAGTGTACATTCAGATTTGTTCATATCATGATCCCCAGGGGTAGGGTGGGCCAAAATGGATGATCAAAGTTTTACATAGGAATATATAGTAAAAAAAATTCTGATTTCTAGAATGGCTAGGCCATAATGACTCAGGTGAGCATTGTGCCCCATTGGGCTATTGTTCAATGCTGAGTTTTTCTTTTCATTGGTCAGTGTCTCTTACCATAAATGTCCACATATGAGTTATTTATGCAAATATGTTTTAGTATTGGGTTGATGTAATACTTTTTTTGATTTAGAAAGAATCCTGTTATCAAGCTTTATCACTTTTTGAACACTACGTTTGGGGGTTACTGATTATTCTGTAAAGCTTTATTTTTCACTATGTTTAATTTTGCATGTGCAGTTTTACACTATTGAATCACCTCACCTTTTTCTGTCGCACGCTAGCGATTGCAGTTTTACAGAAGGGCAAATTGCAAAACTACAGTGAAAATAACCAAAGCTAAATAGCATAAAAAAGGGAAACAGTGAATTGAACATGCATTAAATATTTGTTGTGTTAGATAAAGTGAATATTACTGTGTGATATCAATGATTGGCACATTACTGTATAGGATTAGAAAATGCAACACATTAAATATTGTATTACATTGTATTTCCTTTTTATCCCTAAAACATTTTATTTGATCATTTTAATAAATTATGTATAATTGATAAATTGGTCAAGTTTTAATTGTGTGAATGTTACTTTATAAAAGCATAATTACATCACAATATGTATCTGCTGATACGTACTTCAGAAAATCTTTTAAAACTTGTAAAAGAAATACACACAATAGTTTGTATTTTACTTATGTTTTTAAAATATCAAGATTAAAAAAAATTACTGTGGAAAATAAAGATTTGGATACATGGTGTATCAAATTTTAACCAGCATTTATTTACCGTTATAAATGGACACATCACAAATCCGTACAACAGAAATTGATTCTTGATTTTTTTTAAAAATGTTTAGCTACCATGTATTATTCAGAGTTAAACTGTGAGTTCATTAGGAGTCCTGAGGATGCTTGTGTATGAATGGAATAATCTGTGAATGTAAGAAACACAAAGATTGAAAATTTGTAGATTTATTGTTGATGAAAAAATTTATATTGAATTAATTTGGCTTCGCACTGGCTGAGGGAGGGAGGCATTTGGTATCCTCCAATACTTTTTATACTCTTTCTGTAAAATGTTTAACCTCTTGTAGACCAATTTTGACTGAAAATGGATCAATTAAAACAATGGTTTAATCCTCAAAACAAGAATTAAAAAATCCCTGACAAATAATTAAGTGCCCAAGAGGAAAAAGAAGATGAGGAGATAGAGTAATTCTTTTGAGGAATAAAAATATTCTCAAGAACCACTGGACCAGAAACCTTTTGGTTTGTGAGAAGAGTAGGGGATCAGAAACCCTTGGCTAGCGAAGTTGGTGAAACATTTATTATTGACTATATATTTACATCTGAGTAAATCATACCACTCTCACCCCCTCCCTCCAAGCCATGCAAACTAATTTTAAATTCTAGTATAACAGCTAAAAATCACGGCGAACAAGAATGGAACCCTGGCCTCCCAACCACGAAGCGAACGGCCTACCATTAGGCTATCGTGCACGGTATAATACCTAGAAATTCAAAGGGGCATTAGCTATAAAAGTGATGGCAACTTATTTTTTCTCAGAATCTCTCAATTGCATTGGTATATACAGTTAAAGTACCATCGTGAAAATACCTTTAATTTAACGTTAAAGTAATATCAATTGACCAAATGCATGAATTTAACGTTAAAAAATACGGTATAACGTTAAATTATTGTTTGAAAATTAAAAAAGAATTAAATTAATTTAAGGTCCCAGAATCATGAAGCAGTTTTAGACTTCAACCAGAATCTGTACATTGTTTTAAAGGTTTATTATACGAAATAAAAAAAATTGACACACTATTATTTTTTATCTTTCATGTTGTTGATTTTAATTTTCAAGTGCCAGTTTATTAATTATAGATATATCTATTTTACGACTGACTGAAATTTTGACTCAAGTTTAAGAATGATCATTGGGGTTTAATAATCATGATGAACAAAATTTAAACAAATAATACGCAGAGAAACGATATTGATTTAAGTTACTAATATTGAATGTAATTTTCTCCTTAATTTCGTTTTAGTTGTTAAACAAAATGAGGTCGGAGTATGTACATAAGTGCTGCATGTACCAATTTAGAAGTATTTTTCAGGGACGTAGCATCGTTTTTGAAAGGGGGGGGGGCAGCCAGAGAAAAAAAATTCAACTTACCTGAAAAAAAACTTGACAAGCAAAAAAAAAAAAAAAAAAGGAAAACTGAAAATTGTCCGAACTCGAAAATCCTATTTCGACGGGGGATGGGTTAGGTTCCAACTTCTTTCAGTACCAAATTTTATTCATACACTACTACAACACCCTTATTTGACTATTCTACAACAAAAAAAGGGGGCGGCCTTTCAATTAACGTTTCAAATAGTAAAAAAAAAGTCTTTGGGAAAAAGTGCCCCCCCCCCCCCCCCCGTTGCTACGTGCCTGTTTTTGACAGCAATTTTGGATGTGTTTAATGTCGTTAAAATATCATAAACGCCGAAAGAAAAGTATCAAGGAGACAAAGGTATTTACAAACGTGTGAATGAACACAGGTATTTAAAAATAATAAAAGCAATATAGAAACATATAGTCAGAGCTCCAGATAATTTTTTACCTTAAAGTGTATTTACTCCCTGATTTTCAAATCAATGCAGATTTTGCTTTTCAGCAAAATAATCAAAGAGTATTTTGTTAATCTATTGCTCTTTTGACATCTAATGTGATTTTTAGCTTGTTATCGAAATAAGTGTTTTTGAAAGAGGAATGTAAAAAAAAAAAGTTAAGTTACTGCATTTATCATTTAGGTTAATGAAATTTAAAAAAAAAAAATGTCAGCTTTTAGCTATAACTGAGAAACACTTCGGGTTTTTTTTTTGGTTTTTTTTTTTACCAGAAAGACCATACGGTAGGCAAAGTTTCGACGGGCCCACAGAATTCCTTTTAGGATTAGGCCTATATCGATCGTAGCAAGAGTTACCGAGAAAAATATCCTTCCTTTGGCTAGATAAAATTAATCTTTAGATTCTCATCCCCACCTGCCCCTCTCAAAATATCCAGCCCCGTTGTTTTCCATTTTGTTTGTTTGTTTGTTTCTTTTTTTATCAAGAATATATATTAGGTTTTGCTATATAAATTGTCGGCATCGATCGAGGTAAGAGTTTTAGAGTTACTCCCCGTTTTCATTAAAAGTCGAGTGGCGCTATTTATACATGTAGCACAGGAGCATGTAAAAAGCAAAAAAAAAAAAAAAAAAAAAAAAAAAAAAAAAGCAATGTTACTTTCGTACAAATAATAAAGGTTGTCTGTGGACTTTAGATGATATTCCTACAGAAAATGGTAAATATACAAAAACTGTTTAATAAACAGTGATAAAGAATAAATTAGACACCATGCGTGTTTTTGCGCAATTTTGACAATGTCGACCTGTACGCGTCAAGAAGGAAAATTTGGATGTTATATGAACAGTGGAAATCTTGTGATATTTTCAGACAAAGAATATATTAATATTCATATCTTTCTCCCGAACTGGAAATCGGCCTAGTTTATTCCGAATACGCTTAATCAAAATTTCCTTTTGATAAAAATTCAAACACTGAGCGACTTCAATTCACACAATTGCTTAACATTCAATCCGAATTTACGCAGTACTTTCATAGTGTAATGCTTATTTATGATTGCTAATGCGTAATTGTACGCCCTGTTTTAATTTTTAATGCGTATTTTGAAAAATTCAATGCATATTTCTGCAAATACGCACCTTATCTGGAGCTCTGTATAGTTACATTTTCTGTCCTTTATATGCATCTATCAGTCAACAAAAGGGGTGCGTATCATTACCGCTAAATTTTCACAATTGTCATTACAGCTACATATTCATTACTGCTACAAAAAAAGTTACATTACCGCTACATTTAAAAGTATGCATTACCGCTACATTACCTCTTTTGTTAACCAGCGGCTTCTGCATGTACTTATTGATTTAAAGTAAACCATATGCTTGCATCAGACCTTTTTCCTCTGCTCACCACGGGGATGTAAAAGTAGAAGCAGGGTTTTTTCCAATTTATATTATGGGAAAACTATTTTGTTTAATAAAACATTTTAGACAGTTTTAAAATCGAGCATTGTTCATGTTAAAACACCCAGTCTTTACATAACTGTTAGAGCTTTGAAGGCCATTTGCTTGACGTGCTGTCTGGAAATCTCACCATTTTCATAATTTCGCTCAGATCCAACTCATATTCCGTGTCATTGCTGGCAGATTCGATATGTAGCGGTAAAGAGTTGTAATCGGCAATAGTCTTATTGATAAAATGTAGCGCTAATGATCACCCAAAATTTCGAAGAAATGTAGCGGTGATGAGCTGAAATTTTTCGCAATGTAGCGGTTATGTTGACCTCCCAACAAAAGTATATACTTTCAAATAATGTTTGCTTGTCCTCTCCCGACCCAGGATGAAAAATTTGGGTCGGTAGGTAGGTTGAGATTTTTTTTTCCTAGAAAATTTTAACATCAATGCTGAATTTTCAAAATAAATTTTCCGGACTACATAAAAAAAAAAATTGCTTCCTGGAGGTTGAAAAAGTTTTGAGTCGGGCCATTTTTAGCCAGTCGGTCGGGAGAAGGCAACCAAACAATTTTTTAAAGACGGCGTAACCTACTTTCTTTTAATTGGTTGATCCGCAAGATATGGTTCCGGGACCATAAAAAGCTCACGTTTGATTTCAGTCTCATTTTACAACAGGAATATATAGAGGAAAACTAAGACTGAGCTGAGATCAAAAGTGAGCTCATCTAAATTTGGAACATGAACGTGTAGATGAAGCAAAGTTAAAGGTCAGTGTATTTTTAGGCCGTAGAACGCGGGGGGGGGGGGGGGGGGAAGGCAGGGGGCCCAGCTCCCACTTTTTTCTAAGTATAGTATTTTGCTATGGACAATTTTCATTTAGATGCTGGTTGTCTCCCAGTCTGATTAAAACCTGCTCCCTACTCCTCTCACTCCTCAGGACCACATGTGCTTGGGGACGGGACACCCCCCCCCCCTTCCGTGTTCCGTACACCAAGGGTTTTTGACCTTTTTAAAATAAAATATTTTTATATGACTCATTAACATATTAGGACTGAAAAATCCAAATTATAACTTACAAAACTTGCGTTTTATAAAAATTCATACACTTTCGATCTCTTTTAGTATCAGAGAGTGTGAATTATTGTTTTAATCAGACTGGTTGGCCCCGCACATTTTGTTGCTGTAAGGTCGAGCACTGGCAAATTGCAGGATTTGGTTAGTTGAGGAGGGTTATTTTTTGGCTTGTCAGATTATTTTAGCAAGCCCCCCCCCCCATATTGTAACAGTTAAATTTGGAGGTGTCAGATTTTTTTTATTCCCCACCCTTTTGAAATCGTTGCTACGAGTCTCGTTTTACAGTATATTTGATGTAGTTTTGATTTGCCACCAGAGTCAAAATTATTTATCAACAATTATATATTCATAATTTCATTATGCTTTAGTTTTCAATGTAGAAGATTGAATTTGTAATTATTTCATTAATCCTATATTTTATTAAAAAGTGTTAACCCATTAGTGTTTAAGCATGATTCTATTTAGAAACTTTAAGTACATATTTCCTGGCCATTCATTGTTTTATATGATTAAACATGATTATATTTAAAAAAAAAATCTGAAGTTAAGTACTATCATGTCACAAACACCAATTAATGATAGTTTGAAAGCTTTATAATTTCCACATTGCGCTTGATCTAGTTTATCTGTTTAAGATATCTAGTGTATCCGCAGCTTTGTTAAGGCTTCCCGAAGCTTTAAAATGCGCTCAAAACATAATATGTCATTGCGAGGTTGGTTTTAGTTTTAATTTATAAGTATTGAACTTTAGTACTTCCAATTTATATAAAGGATTTCCTCGGCTATATGTTAACATATTTGTTATGATATCACATGACTTTGTTGATCACGTGACGGTCATTTATAATTTTTTTTGAAATGTTTCATATAAATCGCTTCGGCGCAGCTGATTAACACGATAATTATTAATATTTTGTTATATAAATAAACTCAGCATATCCTTGTGTATCCGAAATGTGCTTGGGAAAAGTCATGGTATTACTTGGGTACAAAATATTTCCTGAGAAATTCAACTTACCTACAAATTTGAGGGTATTTTCCACACAATATCGTAATCTGTATTAAAACAAAGCCAACACACATTTTTCCCAAGCAAGATTCAGTTAGAGAACAACCTCTTCTTACAAATTTCCACAAAAATTCTCAGATTAATCCTCATTAATCACTTGCGCCAGACTCTTTTATACACATAAAATAAATTCTACCTCCAACCACGGGTATAAAACAGAGTACATTTCAAAAGTATATTTTTCATAAGCATTTTGAACATGCTGAATTTCAATCAAGGGTAGGTAAGCGGTGTATTTTTAAAATATTCGGACATATAAGACTTTAAAAAAACCTTTGCCGACCCGTGAATTTTGCATGCAGTTTGAAATAAAGTGCAAAGATCATGATACTCTCCCCATCATAACACCTCAAGTTTGCAGTGACTTGACGTCATTTTCCATTGTGACGTCATATTTTGGTAGTTCAGAGATGTGAAGGCATGTAGTATACTTGATTCTGACCATCCGGCGCTCCCGGGTAAACCGGCGATACACTTGATTCTGAGCCGGTATTGCGCACGCATCAAGCCGGGTGAGCCGATTGAGCCGAAAAAATTTGATAGGCTCGGGCGGCTTCAACATGGCGTCCTTGGGGATAGTAGCGTTGAAAGTTGTTTGTTTTAAGACGTGAAGCTTTTGATCGAGGTACGCTTGTGAAATGAACATATTTGCAAAAAGTGTAGTCCTTTTCTATGCTAGATAATGTTTTACGATAGAAATACAATATTTCTATTACTTTACATGAGCCTGTTCGCTTGATTCTAAGAGCGTACCAGGATTTACCTGGCTTGGTTCGGCTCGGCCGAATTCTATCACAATCAAGTATGCTAACAGACTGCACTGTAGCCTTAACCTACCTGCGTCTGTTTAAGATATCTAGTTTTTGCTGATGATACTTCCTTATATGCCATTGTGGACAATGGAGCCACAAATGTAACACAATCCCTTACTAGTGATCTTGAACTTATTGATAAATGGTCAAAAAAATGGCTAGTTGATTTTAATCCAAACAAAACTGTTAACGTTGACTTTAGTCGTAAAAACATGGTATATCCCCCTATCAAATTTGGGGAACATGGTCCAAACATAATTCAGAATATATCTCATACCCATTTAGGTCTACACTTTCAAACAGATGCTACGTGGATATTGCATATACAATCAATTCATGAAAAAGCTACAAAAAGACTAAATATCCTCAAAATGCTTAAGTATAAGTTTAGGCGGAAAACACTTGTTAAGATATATTTTGCATTTATTAGACCTGTTTTGGAATATTCCGATGTTGTTTGGGACAATTGCTCTGAAAAAGACTCAAAACTTTTAGAAGATACTCAAGTTGAAGCAGGTAGAATTATCACTGGGTTAAGATGTAACTCCCCTCGCTCAAAACTGTATATGATGAATTAGGGTGGGATCTTTTACAAACAAGAAGGAAGGTTCATAAATTGATATTGTTTTATAAAATTATAAATGGCTATTCACCTCAATATTTGCATGATTTGATTGAGCCTTATCGCCCATCAAATCATTCCTATAATTTTAGAACCAGTGATGCACAATTTAAAATTCCTCATATTAGAACTACATCATACATGGAAAGTTTCCTTCCATGGAATAACTTGCCAGATCCTATTAGAAATGCTTCTGGAATATCATCATTCAAAAGTCTTTTGAATTCTTATTTTTGTGAAAAAAAAAAAAAAAAAGTAATGAACTATTTCATATTGGAAAAAGAAAATACAATATAATACATTGTCAGTTAAGGAACAATGCAAGACTTAAATATAGCCAATGTTTATCAGAAACACCAATGTGTGAACACTGCATTGATTCTGTTGAAGATGCTTATCATTACTTTTTCGCTTTTTCAAAATAAACATCTTATAGAGATATACTTTTTTCAAAGAATTCAAAATATTGTTGACTGTAATCAGGTTTCTGAACTTCTATTATTATTATATGGTAGTCCGTATCATGGACTCAATACGAATATACAAATTTTTGAAGCAGTACCATGTCATGTAAATGTATATATAACTTTTGTCAATTTTTCCAAACCGGTACTTCATTGTATTTTTTTCCCGTTTTTTTCTCGCATTTTTAAATGTTTGTTTAATTAATGTTATGATACATAGCGGGTTCCAGTAAATGTTCAACCAAGCCTCTTTCTTTACTCCTCACTAAGATATTAACAGTGGTGAAGGAGAAACTTCAAGAGTACTGTGCAACAATATATTCGAGAAGTGGTGTAAATCAGATGTGGATACTTAAAACTTCCAAGGAACTTTTGGAAAATTTGAAATCGCAAGATTTTACCAAAATCAACACGTGAACATAGATAAGAGTGTGCCTGTACAGTTTAATTAAATGAAGGAAAAAAATAAACTTGACATGCGGAGAGGAATAACATAAAAGTAAACTACAAAAACACCTAGGGATTTAATTTCGATTTTATTTTAGTACATGTATTATGATTTCCTTCCGAGAATTAATCAATGACCAACCAAAACGAACAGAATTATAAAATTATTATAATACAATGTAGAAATACTGGAGTATTTTTTGAAAATTTACAACAACAAAAATCAAAAACATAACAAAACTAGTCCTCAGAAATGGCACAATTTAATACACTCCGCTTTCACTCTAAGAAGAACTCTAAGAAGAAGTGTTTAGTTGTCATTGCTTGACAAATATGTAAATCAGAAATACAGTTAAACTAATAGAGTAGGTCACATGCTGCATCAAAACATAATTTGTCGTATGTTCTTAAGCACCATCTATGTATTTGATTATTGTTTTACTTGGGAATGGATCTCATTCAGAGATTTTTACCAGACTACTCGTCTTGGCAATGTAGGCCACTTCCAAAGTACAATAATCTGCGTAATCATTCAAGTTTGATTTACATCAGAATCAGAATTTAAATATTTCTCTTAATGACCCATCTTTATTATTGCATGAATATCATATGATACCTTTAATGTTTTATCCGTGCATTTTGTCAACAACAGAATTGAAAATATGAATCACTTAGTATCCAAAACATAACTGGTAGTATACATATAATACAAATACAACATATATGGATGACTGGTTAATGTAGCAATGTTCATCATCCAGCAAAATATAAAACACCTGCAGCATCTGAAGCATGATTGAATGTATACATCTTAAAAAATAATTTAGAAAATTTATGTCCCCTTAAAGAAAAAAGAAGAGCGAGGAAGAACGAAAAAAAAATATCCAGATGGAGAAAGAAATAAATGTTCAAACTTAACCTTTTAGCTTTTGAAAACTATGTTTGCAATATATATATTCTGACCTTAGTCTTTTACCTTTTGACTTCCAAATCAATAGGTGTCTTTTTTATGTCATATCGACGAAAGATATAAAATTTCGATGCAAAACCTCAGAGAACTAGAGTTCTCACCATGTTTTGTCTGTATGTTGTTTAACGTTCCTCTCGAGAATTTTTCACTCATATGGAGACGCCACCACATGCCGGTGGGGGGCTGCAAATTTTGTCGTATGCTCGGCACTTACGGCCATTGAGCAGTGAGGGATCTTTTTCGTGCCAGCACCTACTGCGACACGGGACCTCGGTTTGTACGGTCTCATCCGAAGGACCGGTCTCCACGTCCCACAGTGGGATTCGAACCCGCGACGTAAGGATCAACTCCTTACTCTAGAGCATACGCTCTAACCACTGCGCCACGCGGGCGACTGAGTTCTCACCATGAAACTATTTTAAGCAAAATATGAATATTTCACCTCGACCTTTTGACCTTAAAAATCAAAAGGAGTCTTCTTGAAGTCATTGAGCGTTATGAAATTTCATAGAAAAAGCTCAAAGAAAACTAAAATTATCACCCGGAAACTATTTTTGCATTGTATGAATTTCTGACCTTGATCTTTGAACTTTTGACTAAAAAAATTATAGTCACTAGGAGTTCTGATATATAACTTCATTGAAAAAGAGAGAACTAATGTTATTATCTGGAAACTGTTGTATGCAATGTATGGATTTCTGACCTTAACCCTTGACCTTTTGCCCTAAAAATCAATAGGTGTTTTCTTATGCCATTGGGAGTTGTGATATAAAATTTCATAGCAAATGTTCAAGAACGTATACATTTATTACCCTGACCTTTGACCTTTTGACTCAAAATCAATAGTTTTTCGGTTTTGTTTTGTTTTGGTTTGGTTTTTTGCCATAGGGAGTTCTGATGAGAAATTTCATTACAATAGCTCTAGCATCCTCACAATGTCAAGGTTTTGTGATTTCGGAACTCCACACAAACCCTTGACATAAGTCGCTATTTAAAAGTTGGGCTAAAAAGCTACTACCGGGTATTTAATTTGTTCTTGGTCTAGGGCTGGAACCAATCAGAAAACAGCTTTTATTGTGGGTAAGTTTTGTTAACAAATATGACTCGTCTTTAAATTGGAAAGTGTCGATATTGTAGGATTTGTGACTAGTTACATTAAATGAAACATCGGGGATTACTTTTTGGAAGATCGCACTCCTAACAATCACAAAAGATATGCTGTGGAGTTGGGCCATTTGAAAACGACGGATTTGAAAAATATATTCTCATTGGTTAGTTTATAATTAACCACTACGTCATGTGTAACCACAAGCCTAACTTTTAAATAGTGACTTATGTCAAGGGTTTGTGTGGAGTTCCGAAATCACAAAACCTTGACACTGTGAGGATGTAGCTCTAGGCTTTTTGAGATATCGTTCGGAAACGAGTGTTACACACAGACAGAATTACAAACGGACGGACAGACCCAAGTTAATATCCCCCACTTTCAGTGAAAGCCGAAGAAAAATATATTTGCAATATTGGTCAATGTAGGATTTTTTTTTTTTTTTTTTACTTAGGAATGGACCAGCTTTAAGAAACTGATCAGTCAACCAGAAAAATGTAGGTCACGCAGAATTCGAATCATCGTTTGTAGTACGTAAATTTTTTGTCATCAACCATACAAGTTTGATCAAAACGAAATCAAAACTATTTGGATATAAACCTGATTTAAAAGTCTAACCTGATATTTCTACGCAAAATATGACCCGAAACATTATTGTTCATCTGCAGCCTTAGTATTTCTAGTATTTATCAAAATATTCATTACCCAAAAATACAATCTTTCATAACCAATACTTAGAAAATATAGATATAACAACAATGAAAACAATACAAAAACAATCGTACAAAACACTTTAGAGATTCTCTGATCAGGATCTTTTGAAATATGCCTGCCTCATCCAGTTATGAAAATACAACAAACAATGTACGCAGTGGAAAATTAATTCATAAAATTGATAGGTCCTTCTCATTGATGGTTTAAAGTAAAATCTGAAATTAAGAAGCATTAACAATTTTATAGTACAATCAACATAGTAGAACAAAAGAGATTTATTTCAAATGTCATCTGTGAATGAGTACTGAAGAAAATGCGAATTTATACAACCTCGATTTAAACCCCTAAACAATTATTATGTAGAAGCAATTACACTGCAAATTTAATATAAGGTGAATGTGTGGCATAATCCCCCTCCAAAAAAAAAAGATGTATCAAGAACTCAAGAAGTAGAGATAAAGCTTTATAAGTCTCACAAAAAAGAAAAGTAACTTACCCGACTGGTTTCTTTTAGGATACAGTGTATCATACTTTCGTTAAAGGTAGTATTACATGCAGAAAACTTAGAATAACAACAAATCTCGTCAGAATATGTTAAATACACGTATCTATCTTATTTAAATCGTTAATCAAAATTAGTTTGTAGATCATCGGATAGCATTTGTTTAACTTCTCTCTAGATCAAAAAAAAAAAAAAAAAAAAATATTGGAGATCTCTCGTTATCTCCTTTAGATGAACGTGTATCCGAGTCGAAGATGGCGCGATCGAGTACAATCAAATATAACTGCAAATTTGTTAATAGGTATTGAATCCATATATCGACACTTAATTAATCTAATCTATATAAAGAGAAATTGATTGTCTTCGACCTGATCCTT